GGTTTAAATTTGAAATGTGACGTGTCCGCTTAGGGATGTCAGCGTCACGAACAGTCCACAGTGTAGGGTTGGCCGTTCACTCCACGACAATGGAGTCTGTGTGGTTCTAGCGGTTTATCAAAGTTTTACTGTGGCTTTAATCTAGCGAATGCACTATGTGCAATCTACAGAGGGAATCGCAAACAGTGAAACCTCCTACAAGTTTACATTTCTTCCAACCTTGCTGGCTAAAGGACTGGATTCTGGGTTTGTCCACATTTGATTCCCTTTTGCTATATAAATGGTATACTTAAATGTACTAAGGTTCACTCTGACACAAATGATTAGTTAAAATAAACTTCATAACACTGGAAGAACATTACCAACTATAACATTTAATTGGAAAAGTCTAGTAAAAGAATGGCTGTGGAGATAAAATTGGTACCTGATTAGGGATCAAGATAGTAGACAAATCTGTCCACTTAGCTGTAGTTGGGGTTCCGTTGGCCAGCTTTTAGCTCAGCCTCGAAGACACGTCAGGCAGGTCGAATCTTCTAGTCCAGTCTAGACAATCCAGCACCGCAGTTACGCTTAAACTCACTTCTGGAATTTCACCTGGAATGTATACAGAACATCAGTTTCATGAATACTTTTAAGCACAAGAGTCACACAATAAGATGGTAAATTCATCAGTGCGAATTATTCTGACGTCTTTACACTAGTGAGAGGTCACCATGCTCTCAGACCCATAGTCACATTTCACAATAGATTCTCATTTCAGCCACATGAGTTCACCTCACAAAGAATGAGAATCAGGAAATGAGTTTACATGGGCCGGAATCTCATAACAGGTGCACTGTGCAGTTTGAAAATAAATGGGGTCGGACACGTCTCAATCATGATCATTCATGCTGATATTATCAATGCCCTCAGAGAAATGGGAAGGATATAGGACTTTGGTGGCAGTGAATCAATATCACTCGCCAGAATGGCAGACTTGGGAATTAAGATCGGTACTATTAGCCATCGGACGTTGGGGTTCATACTGAGGGGGAGGATCTGAGCACCTATGGACATGTCCGGAGTGCAATGAGGATAACCCAACTAACTAACTAACTAACTAACTAACTAACTAACTAACTAACTAACATGTCAATATAATTATAACAATCAAAAATACCAATTCACGTTTCTAGTATCAAATAAACATTATATCAATCATCAAATAGATCATATGTTTACATACATGTACATACTAGATCATAAACGTGGTTAGTTAGGATTAAGAAATTCACAAGGGTTCTCCCACCATGTGGACTCTGGAAAATAGTCAACACGGGGTGTGGGGGGGGGGGGGGGGGGGGGGGGGGAGGGACTAGACGGGACTTATATTCATGTTGCAACAGGTACTATTAAAGCAAGTCGACTCTTCGTTGGCTTCTGAGGTAAGTGACGTGCAACCCCACCACTAACACACAAACAGCGTTAAACACCCGGTGAAACAGTGCCACCATTCGGTTGAGAACCCTCATGTGCAATCCCCAAAAACCCTGTTCAGTCGTTAGATTAGGAACTCCCAGCTTCAGCCGGTGTTGTAATCTAAAATAAACACCCCCAAAAAACTGCGTCTCATGGGTACAGTTTGTACCAAGAACTGAGGAAGGAGACAGAGCACGTATGGAAATATCCAGAGAGCAGCGATATTTAATTCTTGATTCGTGTGTTTTAATTTTGTCCTTGCAGTTTTCTGGTTTTACCTATCTTCTTTCCCTTAATTCAGTAGATACTAATTATTATTTCTCACTCACAATCAAGATGAGTTAACCAGCAAGCCTTGAGAACTGAAACGAGCCCAATTGGGATGTTCCAGATATATGGCACATAGGGCACACAATATATTCCTCCATTTTGTTCTATCCTTTGCAATCAGTTTAATATTATGGATGGAATCCAGCCCAGTAGCTTTCACTTGCATATGTTAAAATTGAAAAAAAAACATTAGAACTGAAATACTTAACTTGATTTTAGACGTAAATACGAGGTAATTTAGAGTGTCAAATTTTGTTCATGTTATTCTTTTTCTTCCTTGCGTTAACCAGCTGTAAACTCTGGCGGAAAATTCTGGTTGTTCATCCACTTCTGGACTGCAGCCGTGTTCCAGAACCTGGGTATTGCGTGTGCACCGTTTTACAGATCTGACTCATTTTATGCAGACTGCTGGTTCCTTGCCTCTCAAGCAGATACACTCCGACTTCAAAGGAAGCTCCCAATTAGTCGACTCTTACGGCATGCTTTTGGGTAGTCTATTCTTGTTCTCCCTATAATGAGGCCCCGGAACACACAGGGAGAATTCGTGTTAATAAAAGCTGTTGGTGCCTGGCCAATGCGTATCATAATATTTCTGTGAGCCGGATTACTTTACGTAGACCCCATGTCGAGTTCTCTCCCCTGCAACCGGAAGCCAGACATGTTGTGTTTGTTTAGGAACACAGAGGGAGAGAACGGTAAGAGACTGCAGAACGGCTTTGTTAGAAGTACACTTGATCACTTTTTGTAGCCGCCACTGTATCAGTCTAGGAGTTAATGTAACAGAAGACACGCTTAGTTATAGACGATGGCATATATATATTCCAATATATATATTATAGCTTATTTGTTTTAGTGTTATATTGGCATTTGTTTTCAGCAGTTGAGTACTTTGAGTACAAATTAATTAGTTTGTGTACTGACTGAACTGCACTGTTACTGATTTCGCAACAGTTCTGAAAAAATAAAAAGGCAATATTTTGCTTCGCTTGTTATGGAGCTTTTTTTTTTCTCTATCAGTTTAGTGTTAGTCTGAGTTTTAGCTTCATGGCAAACGGGTTTTCTCACAGTGGCTTCCTTCATATGCCAGGAAAAAACACTGAAAACCTACACGGCAAATCAAATCCAGACCAGGATTTTGTTTCATTCGGTACACAACACCGGCATAATTATAATAATGTTTTCCAGGTCTCATGCAATAGACACTTTGCATTGAGCCCCAGCATACTTTTAAGACACTGTTGTGAGCCCCAGCATACTTTTAAGACACTGTTGTGAGCACCAGCACCAGCCAAAATGGGACGCTAGGCATGGTCACTGTTTTGAGCCATGTCAAATTGTTTGCTTCTGCCAGACGGTGGCTGTTTCATTTTTGCTACATTCGTAGACTGAAATGAAATAGTTTCGTTGCCCATCTTCTGAGTTGAGTGCATGGCGTGACACTGTGAGCTGTGGATTTCATTTGGAATGTTTTTCGACTGACTGTTGTGGTGGTGTGAACTTTAGATTCAGAAAATGGTGCAATGCCGGTTGTCACAATATTGGTGGTACCATTATGTGATTAAATTTGATCGCCCGTGCAACTGCTGATCTGTTGGTGACTTCTGCTACCATCCATGATGAACTGCATTTCTAATTTCAGAGTGTTTGTGTTAGCACTTCAGATGGCTACCGTATGCTTCTAATGCCTGTGTATGCTAGTGCATATGCTAGACAGTCTGTCAGTCTTTCCACAAGGGGCTGTGATAAACATTCTGTGTGTTTTTTGTTGGCACAGGAGCGGAGTAACTATGGGCGTGACCCATTTGCTATGAAGTTGAAACTAAGATTACCAGAGCACCAGCACCACCTTTGTTTCTGGAAGGAAAAAAAATCCCTGTAAAAGACAGCAGCAAAATGTGTCACTCAGTGTCATCACAAACAGTCAGCCACTTTAATCGCAGCTTACTGTGGATGGACTCAGCAGTCAGAACAAATTAGCAATGGTACATGCAATATAGCATAAGGCAGCAGCCAGCTCTACAGTAGCCGACCACCTGTAATTTTCAGAAATCTCTAGTTCTCAACAGAAACCAACTTGAGCAAAGTTGACCAGATTTCCACATGATATCCACAGCTAACTTCAACACCCCTTGTATTTATCTCAGAAGCAGTGCGATGGAACTGGACTTTGAGCCCACATATGGGGGGAGGAGGGGTGCAGATCCAGGCATGGCCAGAAGCAAAAAATATCATCAACTCAATGGTCGGCCAGTCTATCTGAAATACTGGACCAGAAGTCAGTCAGATTCCAGAGATACATACTAATGTCAAATCCTTACCTGCACTAGACTGCATTTATGCCAGGTTTTCTTATTGGAGTAGCTGTTTTAGGCGCCCTAGTTATAAGGTTTGAACAATGTTCCTGGGAATGTGTCCATTAGTTTGCCTTATAGGATTCTCAAAGTAGCAGAGAGAGCAGCAGTCCACAGGAGAAGAGGCGACCATATGTATCCCAGAGTATTATGTACAGTATGTCTTTTTTTCAGTATATGATATTTTGTTTTGACCGTTAATATTCTGTCCCATTCCCACTTTTTTGTTTGTCATCATCAGTGTAAGTAAAGTAAAGTAAAGATCCCTTTTCACGCCTTAGGCGCATTGGGTATATGGGAAGAGCGCCCCATATTTTTACAGACCAATCTGCACTTTATGGGTAATGTGGTCAGCATTACGCCGGCCGTCTTTACTTTCCCAGGACAGCCATCCTGGTACCAATTTTAGGCTGGGTCGACCTGCGACGCCCCAAACTATGATAAAAATCCACTCAGCCTGCAGTGGGTTTCGATCGGGGTACGTTGGATTACGAGTCGGACTCGCAACGCCTAAGCCGCGGACGCCGCCATCATCAGTGTACTTGCCACAAAAATAACCTTTTCATCATGTTTTCTATATTTGTATTTTTTTTTTTATGTAGTAGCCAAAATTATTGTCTTTTAAATGTATCATCTTCTTTCCTTTTTGTCAATATCCACTTTGTCTCATTAGGTGTCACATTTTAACAGATGATAGGTTCTGGACTAGTGCATGCTCAGTTGTTTCATATGCTGTGAATGATGTTTTTTGCCCTGTTTTTAATAATTATCATCATCACCTTTTATCACTCTTATGATATCTTAGTAGCACCTTGTCTAGTATTTTTTTTTCAGCTGTCTGTTATTGAGATTCTAAACACAATGGGCGATTATGCCAGGACTCACAGTAACCTTACCAGGGACGAGGGCAGTGCCTCTCTTGAGCCAAGTGTGTGGAGCCTGGTTAAAGGTAACCTGGAGTTCATGATCAGACAGGCATTTAGACGAACCCAGTTAGACAAGTTTTACAGTAACAAGGCTGTGGAAAATGTGAGAAATTTAACACTGAGGCTAGAGCACCTGCTAGAAGGACCCTTGAAAGATGTGGCCCCTGGACATAATGTGGGAAAGACAGTGAGTACATATGTATGTTTGTGTGGTACAAGCATGCTTGTGAACATACCTTGTTTTGTTTTTATCTTACAGTGTGCAGAATATTAGGTCTATAGTCTGTATACCAGAAAGTGCATTTGTTGGGCTGATAAAAAACTAATTAGTACAGAGGTCTGTGCACCCATCAGCACTAATTAATGTGAACCAGAAGCACTTCTTTTGCGTTTCTAACCGCCAATAGAGCATAGGCCTTCAACCAACTCACAAGTCGCTCTATCATCGCATGCAGCTCTCCAAATGTTTTTTTCGGGGTCCTCTTTTATTCCTGTGCCGCAATGGGTTCCAGCGCAAAGACATTCTAGTTAAATTGTTCGCAGGTTTTCTCAAAATATGTCCTATCCAAGCCAGCGTCTTTTCTTCTGCAGAAGCTCTATTACACAGAAACAGATCTGATGTTTGACACCACAGATATGAATTGCTCTGCAGGCAGAGCAGTTCAAAAGCCCATTGGGGTTTTTTCTGCAACCACTAGGGCATGATGATGGAGTTGATGGTGGGGACACAAACTTTCCTGTAGCTGGAATCACAGGGCTATTCTTTCATGTGGCTGCAATCACAGGGCTATTCTTTCATGTTGCTAGAATCACAGGGCTATTCTTTCATGTGGCTGGAATCACAGGGTTATTCTTTCATGTGGCTGGAATCACAGGGCTATTCTTTCATGTGGCTGGAATCAAAGGGCTATCCTTTCATGTGGCTGCAATCACAGGGCTATTCTTTCATGTGTGTACTAATTAAGTGATTGATTCTTTCGGCACAGTTTAGTGGCTCAGGTTAGGTTCCATACCTAGGCAAAACAGTTTTTTTACTAGAATGGTAGAAATTGTAAGTATGCACATACTTTACAGCTTTTTTTTTTTAATATAATTTTTTAATCCATAGCGTTTACTTGCTGTCAACTGCAGCTGAAAGTTTCTAGACCTCAATCTTGTTTCAGTATATGCTGTTTTGTGTGCACACTCCATCTTACATATCTGTCGTTTTTGAATGCAGACTGTTAGTTTCTCGCTTTTTAGGCAGATGCACTCTAACTTTGAAGGAAACACCCTTAATTAGTCGCCTCCTATGACATGCTTGTTAGTGGGGCGGTGGGTCTGTTCTGTATTTACCTTCAGTGGGGCCCTGAAACTTACAGAGAGTTTTATTTTTTTAAAGTCTGTTTCTATTTGAAACTGATTATATCACCAGATCCATCAGAAAGTCGAAGAGGCTGTCAAGGGAGCTGTGGGTGAAGCCATGAATGAACAAAACGATACCAATGCTTTTACGTCGAACGTGTCACTGGTGTCTTTGAAAGACAGACTTGTTGTGACTCTGGAATCTGAAATTGAGTTGGATGTTTTCAATAAAGTTCTCACCAACCACACAGGTGGTAAGTAAATTCAGACGTTCAGTCCCTTGTTTATGCTCAGTTAGATTCACTAACAGCTGTTTACTGGGTTTTTCTTTGTTTCTCTTTTTGACTTTTCTATGGTCTGTTGTAGGGGTGAAAAGAAATTAAAACTAAACTTAAAATATTTTATTCTGTTAAATCAGTACTGTTATATTTAGCGGAAACATGAAAAACAACTAAAGAAATTACTAATAAACTACAAACATACATTATCTGGTTATTGTACAAAATAGAGGGAACTAAATGGTATGATAAAATCACTGATGTAGAGCTTTGGGAACATATGCTTAGGATAGGACATACACTGAAAACACTATAACTAGAATGTCTTTGCACTGGAACTCATAGAGGCATAGAAATAAGAAAAGGTACACACACAAAACTACACACACATGGAGCTAGAGAGGAAAGTTAAAAAGATGGGAGATCTGCATGCGAAAACAAAGGATAGAACGACTTGGTATGAGTTGATCGAGGACCTGTGCTCCACTGGGGGGGTGAGAAAGGCAGAACAGAAAAGTTGTTAGTGATAAATTACCCTTATGCTTTTTGTCACATTTCAATCTTTGCAGACAAAGAGTGTTTCATTGATGCAGTAGGGAGGCAGGGAAATCACAGCCCTTGTCGATACCAGTTAAGGCTAGAGATTAAGAAGCTCCTGCTCTCCATAGTACCAAAAACAACACACAAAAAAAGGTCCCTCTACATGTCATTTTCACGTCGGGCATATGGGGCTAGGCTCCTATTTTTATAGACTGTTTGGCTTTCGATGGATAATATAGTCCAACATCATGCTGACCGCTCTACTTCCCAGGACTTTACCTGGTACCCATTTATGACAACACTGGGTAGACCTTGTAGTCAATGTCATGTTTGAACCTATGACCTTCAGATCCCCAGGCTAGCGTCTAGCCGCTCCACCATAGTGGAATCCCTATAGTGCAAAACCTGGGCAGTATTGAAGAGTATACGAGAAGTCCATGTAATCTCCATCCAGCATGATCTCTCTGCTACTGGGCCTGTTTTGTTAACTCCCAAGAAGAGTTAACACCAAGTTTAGAACAAAGCATGCTGCATTAGCAAAACAGTGCTGTGTTTGTTGGAGCTTCCCTCCTAGACTAGCTGCCACCAAGGCTAAGGGCCCAGTCTGGTGTGCCATAACATTAAACTTTCAAGTTGCAGATTCCTCGTCCAAGGGTAAGACAAGTATCCTCCACCAATATGCTCCTTCACCTGATGCTGTTGGCACAAGTAGAATGTCATGTTTATTATGCACCAATCAGCAATTGGTATTAACAAAGAACAAGTTATACGACTGTTGTAAGGTAGCTCTCCTTGTTTGGGTTCTGGGTTCCCATGTAAACTAAGAATAGACCCACTGCCTACAAACAAACAAAAAGTGTGTCATATGAGAATTTGGAGCTTTCTTTAAAGTTGAAGTGCTTGTGTCTGAGAGGCAAGGAACCAGCACTGCATAAATATAAGCTGTGTCATGCAACACTCAGGTCCTGAAGCAAGACTAAAGTCCTCATGTAGACAAATAACCAGAACTTTGAAGATATTGATATCTCAGTCATATCTGACCAAGTCATGACTTTGACTCTTATTATGTTTTATGGTGACTACTTTCCTAGAATTATATTGGCACTGCATCTAGTTATACATTAGACATTTTGTGATGATGGTTAATAATAATTCACCCACTCCAGGTTACTAAATTTTTGTGTAGTGAATACCAGCATCCTTACTAGGTACATTTTCTTGCTACAAAATACTTGTGTGTTTTCTCATTTGAATAAGCCTAGGCAGTTTGCTTTGGCTGGCTGAGCAGTTAGAATGGTGGGCTACCATTCAGTAGACCTGGGTTCAAACCACCAACAAGGTGGTAGCAATATTGCTGGGGGCAAAATAAAATCCTATCCTGCACAGTTTGTGGCAAATGCACTAACCACGCAGTCCTAAATTTTTAGGCTCCAGACCCTGGTCCTTCACAGCCCTGAAACTTAGCAGTAAAGACCATAAGTTATGGGCTGCTGAATTTCTTTTTAATAATCATCATCATCATCATGTAGCAGGTCCTTTGCAGAACGTTGCTCTCATCACGGTCTGCCTGAAAGAAACTATGTCTCTCGCCTGTTCTCCTGCCTCATGCATTTTCACATTCAAGGAGTCACCTATATCCTGTGCCCATCTTCATGTCGGTCGGCCCCTGCCCCTGCTTCCTGGTACCATGCCTTCTGCTATTATTTTCTCCAATCCGTCGTGGCGCTTGATATGACTAATATTTCAGCTTTCAAAAAAGGATGCTGTTTATTAGACAATCTTTCTTGATGTTCAGATTTTTTAAGATGTCAATATTTCTCATCTTCTTTGTCCAAGATATTCTGAGAATCTTTCTGTAACATTTCAGCTCAAAAGTCCCTATTCTCTTTCTCAAGGACTGAGAGATAGTTTTTTTAATAATCACTGTTTTAAAAAAGACATTTGTATTTATTTTGAGGCGTTTAGAGATAATTAATTTTGTTGCTTTTATGTGCACAGACCCCTGAAAAAATATACATAAATGTGCACACACAGTTACTAGAGCCTCGTTCACAACATTTAGATTATTCATCTTGGTTGTCCAGAGAAATTTCAGCATTCTTTATTTATTACACAGGCTTCCGACAAGAGGAAGATGAGAACAGTTCCTTCTTGCACAGCCTGCATCTGAAAGATGAAACCATGTTTGTTGTGCTCGTCTCCATGGCCATCATCATCCCTGGGATTTTCATCAGCCTCTTAATATTTTTCTTTTACAGGCGACAGAACGATGCTAAAGAAAGAAGGTAATAATTTGTGACAACTTTACTGTTACATTTCTTTGTTGCGGAAAAGATACACAAATGTACTTCTTCTTCTGTGTGCACTTTTAACCCACTGACTACCATGCCCGTTAACTCTTGCACTTTCCCAAATGCCACGTATTTTATTGTGTACTAAAAATTCAATAGCTTGACAACTGTTTAAACCTATAATTTTTTAATTTTTTTTGGACACCTCACATAGTTGGCTAAATTGGACTGCGCGGTGACCGGGTGATGAACTCCTTGTGGTCCGGGTTCACTCCCGGGGGTAGGCATAAAACACACATTTTCTCCCAGAATTACGGTACCTATTATGGAATCAAGGCTGAAGGGTTGCGATATCCATAGTACTGATCCAAATGGTTAACAACTCATGGTTTCTGGATATTTTTTTTTTAAATGGAGATCAAATTTCAAAAACAAAAACTGAGTAATCTTGTTTGAAATCATTATCATGTGACTGTAGATTGATGCTTCATTATATTCAGTTGTTTCTGTATTATGCATCTGATGAGGCACAGCGAAAGACCCTGGGCCATAATTTGTGCAACCTGTTGTTTGTTCTGTCATTGTTCAAATTTACAGTGGGAAGACATTACTTTGAGTTTGTGTATGTTCATGTTTTTTGCTGCATATTAAGATCATGTCCACCATCCTTTACTTACAGGCAGGAGATGCTGCTGCAGGATCAGCCAGAATTTTCCATGGATGAATACAACACTGAGGACAGGCAGCCGTCACTGAGAATTGAGATACCTGATTTAGATTTGCACAATTTGAAGATCTGAACCCTTTGTCACTGAAATATTATCTAGATGCTACCTAGATCTGAAAATCCTAGATTAATATTCGTGAATTGCTAGAGTTGCATACAAAAAAAAAATAGCTACATTCTGTGAGTACACAAAAAGCTGTACTTTCAGTCTAAGAAAATACAAAATGTGGTATTCTGAATCCTTGAAATACACATGATGTGGTATCTTAGATTATGTGATTGCACAAAGTGTGGTGTTTTAGATACTTTGTGTACACAAGATTTCGTATTCTAGATTCTAGGAGTACATATGATATGGTATTCTAGATTCTAAGAGTACACATGATATCGTATTCTAGATTCTAGGAGTACATAAAATATGGTATTGTAGGAGTACACATGATGTGGTATTCTAGATTCTAGGAGTACACATGATGTGGTTTTCTAGATTCTAGGAGTGCACATGATATCGTATTCTAGATTCTAGGAGTACATAAAATATGGTATTCTTGATTCTAGGGGTACACAAGATATGATATTCTTGATTCTAGGAGTACACAAGATATGGTATTCTAGATTCTTATCGTAATTAAGATATGGTTTTCTAGGAGTACACAAGATATGGTATTCTAGATTCTAATCGTAAATAAGATATGGTTTTCTAGGGGTACACAAGATATGGTATTCTAGGAGTACACAAGATATGGTATTCTAGGAGTACATAAGATATAAGTAAAAGTAAAGGACCCTATTCCACCCTTTGGGCGTATAGGGCTAGACCTATATTTTTTTTTAGACCAATCGGCACAAGATGGGTGATGTGGTCAGTATCAAACCGGCCACCTTTAGTTCCCGGGACTACACAAGATATGGTATTCCAGATTCTAGGAATACACAAGTTATGGTTTTCTAGATTCTAGGAACATACAAAAAGGTATTCTAGATTCTAGAAAAAGGATAGGACATGGTTCTTACAAATGTGGTATTTTAACAATACACACGATGTAGTATTACAGATTCTGATAATTCCCACCATCTTCTATTCTAGATCCTAAGAATTCCCATGATCTTCTAATCTAGATCCTAAGAATTCCTATGATCTACTATTCTAGATTCTAACTGCAAAAGATTCAAGATTCTAGGAGTATTTGAAATGTAGTAATATAGGTTCCAGAAATGCACAAAATGTGACATTCTTGACTTTAGAAATACGGAACATGTGGTATTATGGAATTCAAGTATACACAAAATGTAATCTGGATGTTAAGATGATACAGAATGTGATATTCTAGAATGGATAACTATTCTTAAAGTCTGAAGGGTCACATTCACTTTAGAAAAGCAAAGTGAAAATGTTTTTAATACGGTAAAACATTTTTATTATTGGACTTTTTATTAAAAGCAAGATATGGTGATTTAAATTTTAACACTGTAGCTTCATCTTGACATTCAACACCTGAGATGACAAAACAGTTGTATTTTTGAATAGTAATTCCATTGTTTATTCTTGATTCTGAAAAACCATTGTTGACATGGAAAATATTGCCACGGTCTTGGAACTGGAGAATGTAATCTATACAAACAAAGTGTTTCTACTGATTGCCAAAACTTTCCTCTGTATGGTTTCCAGGGTTCTAGGTAGGTAGGTGCTTGGCTTTTTTTTTTTAATTAAAAAAATTATAAACAGTCTGCATACAAATAAGTCTGATCTGTAAAATGGATGTGCATGCAAAACTCAGCTTCTGGATCACAACCAAAGTCCTCGAATAAACGACTAACCAGAACTTTCTGCCAGAGTTTACAGCCAGTGGATGCTAAGAAGAAAAAGAACAACAGCCAAAACTTATTATACTGTTCTAGCTTTTATCTGTATTTGAAAAGATTTGGTTGCTTGCACTGCCAAGAATATTCGTAATCTCAAATGGTAAAAAGAAAGCATCTCTGACTTGGGGGTTAGGAAGAGGGTTTGTGATTCTGAAATGCCTTGTTCATTTCAGTTACGGGTGATTTGGCAGCGGATTGCTTTGCATTGATTTCTATACTGAATGGATAATTGCCTGATAAAGCCACAAACAACCAACAACAACTCGGGTAAATTGCTGCACCACAAGCTAGATGTGAATGTCCTTGGTGGGAGGTTGAATCAACTTGGTGTAGGCACAAATAGATCATCATGGTTAGAAGAGAATGGTGCAGCCAGGAGTGACCTGGAGATCTGGCCAACACTGAACACTCGGGGAAAGGGGTGGAAACAGAAATACACTCAGACTGCTACTGGTACCATTGGACTGCCCTTGCTGCTGAAGACATGGAGGGAGCGCTTATGGAGATTTTTAAGTGCTATGATTTCAGTTCCCAAGTCATATTTAATGCTCAGGTTGGTTGTAAACGGTACACAACTGACAAAGGGTAAACTGTTGTTAGAATGGAAAGTACCTCTAAGGTGCAGAAACGGGTGAAAAGTGAACACATTGAAAGAGAAGTGTACGGTTTATCACTGGGCCAAAATTGTGATTATGTGAAGCAAAAATTACTGACGAGCCAGAGAAATCAAATTTGAAATTGGTTGTGCTTGTAAAGGCAGTCTAGCTTGGCTTGGCTTATATACCTTGGTACCGATCACAGTCCAGCCATGCATCCCCCTACATGTGAAGTTATGAAATGTTACACAGTTACAGACAAGATGGTTACAGTTATTTGATATTGTAACTGTTATTCTGTTTTAATTATTTTGTATTGTAACTTTTACTTATTGTACAGTAGTGTCTGTTGCCATTGTTTTAAAATGCTAATACTGTGAAAACTTCTGAGTGCTTTAATTTCTATATTCTCTGCTGAGATTTACATGCCCGTATTCTATTTTTATGCCTAAGTTTTTATAACTAGAAATATGCCTGTTTCTTTATAACTTTCACCTCTTTATCTACATTCGTAAATACTGAAAAATGAGGAAGAGAACACAACACCATCGTTAAAGATGAAATGAAATGATGAAAATTGAAATATCAGGATGGAGAGGGACACCTAGAAGATATGGATTGAGGAAGTCACTGGCAACTTAAGACTTCACATCATCTCAGTGGTTTACAGCCGGTGAATTCAAAGAAGATCATCCTGGCTTTGATATTCATTGTCTGTTAAACTGCCAATGCCAAGCAGCACAAATCAAATGTTAAAAACAGAAAGAAATTACCCTGGAAATAAAAATAAAAAGGTGAAGAAATCGGAGAAGTGTCTGAACCACGTCTCTTTTCAACAGTTGTAAAAGAAAGAAGATGGTGGTGCATTGAGCAGATCCTAAAGCAATGTGAACAAAACAAGCCTGTATGGATGGACGCCACAAGAAAAGTATTCCTGGTTACCAGTCCAAATTGGAGTAATTTTCTTCAACTTCTTGCGTCTATAGATTTTTTTTTATATTAAAAATTTTTTTTAAAAGTTAAACTATTTCTGTGGGTGTTTTTCAACTCCTTTTTGAGCTTCCTAGTCAGTCATTGTTCAGTGAATTCATTTTTTGTTGTGCTAGCTCAACTGCAGTCATCTCTGTTTTCATCAGTTTGGGTTCTCCAGTCAAGAGCATCACATGAAACAGGAGCTCTGCAGCTCCAGTAATGATCCCCAGGGACCTCTGTAAACATTGCACTTGTGAACCGAAGGACACAGTTCATAAACCTGTGACCTTTAGAATGTGAGGCAGACTGCATGACCAGTCCGCCATGGAGACTCCAATCATATATCAGCTGTGTCAAGAATGATTGGCAGTAGATTCTCCTTCTTTGTGTTCGCTGGCCGTAAACTCCAGTGGAAAGTTCTGGTTGTTCATCCATTTCTGGACTTTAGTCCTGTTACAGAACTTTAATTTTGCGTACACATCCATTTTACAGAACCCTGTTTATTTATATGGAGACTGTAGGTTCCCGCCTCTCAGGCAGATGCACTGAGACTTAGAAGGGAATTGAGAGTGAATGAGACAGAAGCTGTGGATAAATGAGCTATCCAACACAACATGGCAAGGATTACAAGGAGAAGCACAAGTTGGAACTGAATGGATTCTACATCAAGAAAGCCATTGTATATTGGTCACATGGAAAGAGGGTTGTAGTCATTGGTGAAAAAGATATGGTGGACATGAAGTTGTCTGATGGCCCAAAAAAAAGGGGTGGACAAGATGGCAAAAGATTATGAAGTTGTAGAGTGGTTGTTGGCCTAGGTTCCATCAGAGGATTAAGAACCGAAGAGCCCGGCTCTCTAGCATAGTTGGTTAAACCTGACATCGCTGTGACCGGATGACGAACTCCTTGTGGTCCGGGTTCACTCCCGGGGGTGAGCAGAAAAGCCACATACATTTCTCCCACATTTGCGGTCCCTATCATGGAATCAAGGCCGAAGGGTTGCGATATCCATAGTTCTGAGCCAAAGAGTTAACAACTCATGGTTTCTGGATATTTCCAAAAAAAAAAAAAAGAAGAAGAAAACCACACAGAAAAGAAAAAAACAATTTGTGACTGTTTCTTTTTTTTTTTTTTTTTTAAACATTTTATTTTTGACTGCTTATTGTCCTACAAACCTGACAGATTTATCTTTGACTGGATGGTTATATTTTGTCTTTTTATAAAACTGCTAAACATTATATATTGATTGGTTGAAGCTTGGAAACTGAAGAGCTCCCTATGTTTTGTGTCCTGGTGAACATCCTGTATTGACTGGTTAATGTTGTAGAAAATTTATGAATTTGTTGTTTAGTTTGTTTTTAGACAAAACATAAGCATTCTGTGTTGGTTGGTTATTTTTGTTAAAAAAAATTAGCCTTCTAAGCTCATTAATAATTATTTTAGAAACAATATGAATAGCCTTTGCTGGTTGGTTACTATTTTAGAAAACTGATGAACATTCTATGTTTATTATTTTAGAAGTGATTTGAAAAGCCACAGTTCATTGGCTACTGTTTTTTAGAGTTGATGGGTAATCTGTGTTTTCCTTTTGGAAAACTAATGAGCAGCCTATGTTGATTGGTTACTCTTTTATACACTCAAA